GTGCATTTTTCAGTTCTGTATTTTCAGAAGTATGTCTACATATGTTTACAGTATATTAATTATATAAAACTATGTTTACACCAGTTTACACCATTTTTTAATGCAGAATGGTGCGATTTTGCACAATATGCTGTAAATAAAATATTTTGTATTTCAGATCTTCTAAGCCCCACCTCAGGACTGATAACAGGTGTCAATTTATCCTTTAAGTGTGAAAAAAAAAGCAACCCACCTTTTTCAGGCATCCTGGGTTATTATTTAACTAATGGGACACCCCGTCAACCTATTGAAAATAGATACTGTACTATTCAAAGCATTTAATCGAAACCCATGTCCACATTTTCCCTTTGAAAACCTGTAGGGAACACCATGTTATTGCTGCAGGTGATGTTTGTTCACCAGTAGGTGGCACTCTTCACTTTGGACCAGAATTATAAGTCACCATGCTCTGTATGGTAACCAGAGATCCAGTGAAGATGTTAAATCATTATTAAACTACAGCTTTAACTACACCTCTGCAGACATTGTACTTTGTTTAAATTAACATTGTGTAAGCAACACATTAAACTAGTAGAGATTCATTTTCCTTTAAACGTGTAAAACAAGCTAGGTTTCAACAGGAGAGACTAATCTTACTTTTCAGCATGGAATAAACCTCTGCTTATCTGTTACATTGGCAGTCAACATATTCAACATCTACATCAGAATCCCTGAATATTTTTCACTGAGAGAAATGGGGATCTGAGTCGATTTAAGTTGGATAGAGACAACCTCTATAAACTCTTCAGCAGACTTTGTTTGATATTTTTACAAGCTTGTCACACATGTACAGGATGAGCAATCGCCCTTCCAGAAGGCTAAGGAGCCTCACATCATGGGTCATAAACCTTGCGCCGTGGAAAACAGACCCAGACTTCAGCGCCAAAGAGGAAACGGATGTGTAATACGCCAGGATAGAATTTGCTCGACAGAAGAAGAAGAGCACCCCTGCAGAGAACAAGTCTGAGCCCACTGCTTCAGTCTACGCAGAAATAAAACACACACAGGAGAGAGGGAAAACCCAGAAATGAAGTCTCTCGAGAACCGCAAGCCTTAAAAGAAAAAACTGGCTGCCAGTGAAAGTGAACACAAAGGCAACAGCAAGAACAATATTTTTGCAAACTCCACCCAGAAAGGCCTGCGACACTAGAACTTTGAGACCACAGCACAGACTTCCTCACCACTGTGCCACCCCTCTGCCTGTGTACACTGATGGCAGAAACTAAAATCCCCCTCATCAACTGAGGTAATCTTGTACAATAAGTAAGAACCAACTTGTGACAAATGGGTTATTACAAAAAATGTGTAATACTGAATCATAACCAACTTGAACCTCCATTTGAGACCTTTAGAATAATTAAGAATTATTCACAGAATTACTTTTTAAAGGTTAACAGTATTGTCTTTTTATTACATTCACAGCTGGTGTCGGAGTGTTCCACTCCAGAGCAAGTCCTCTTTAAACCTAGAAACTGCTAAATAGAAAGAAAAAATCTCTATAATGCTATCCTACTGTAACTGTATATGCAAATAAGATTAGGGTGGTGTTGCAAAGGCTTTGCATGGGTTGCACATCTGCAGGGAGACAACAGACATCTCTACACATACTGTAGCATGAGAAATCGGGGAGTGGTTTATTCCATTCGTAGACTACAGAGTACATTACCTTCAAGATGAGGATAAAATGCAAAAAATATTTCCAGAATACATTGTAATTCACAGAAAAAATCATACTACAAATCTAGATCTGCACAGACATATGGCTAGTGCTTGCAATTTTTTTAGCATGTTACAGTACAGTACAGTTCATTGATTATACACTATAGTTATCCAAAACACCAGCAATTTTGGGATTGCATGATGATTAGAATTGCTAGCTTACAAGCACTGAGACCTGGGTGCAAATCCAGAGTGGGATGTGTTCTGTATGGAGTTTAGAAAACCTGCAAGAAAGTTACTGTACTGTTCAAATTTCTTTCTAAACAGCAGAATAAAACACAATATGTTAAACAAGAGAAACATACTCAGGAGGTTGCATACAGGTTACATACTCAGGAGCAAGGTGATTTTTGTATGAAATCTGTTTTTCTTCTTTAAATTCTGCTATTACATTTGAGAAAGGATAAGAGAGATGGCTGCTGCATCATTTGATAATTTCCCAGAACAGGTTAACATTCTTTATGCAAGTACTTATCTGAAGTTATTCAAAGTGTGGTCGTTAATGTAATGTGCCTACATTTTTTTAATCTGTTTCACTTTAGAGTAGTGCCAAGACACCCAACTTCTTGGTCATTTAACTATTTATTTATTTAACTAAGTTCATTATACATATATACATTGTGTATTTACATTATGTTATAGATTGTGAATATATTAGAGAATTGTAATTGCAAAAACATAGCTGTACTTGCCCAATCCTATAACTCTGTAGTTTGTATAAAGACCTTTGCTAGATTAATACTAATAATACCCATATTAATTTAATTCCAAATTAAACCATGAAAATAATGTTATTATTGAGAAGAGCTATCTTGCTGTGAAATTCTGCTACGTCCTATTTTTAGTATTTCTGGAATGTGTTGGACGAATAACACATTTTATTTAACTTGGGTTTACTTTAAAGCTATAACTTTCTTTCAATATGTGTAAAATACTCATATTTTATACGTTATGCAGTGAGTCGGGAGAAGGGCTAAAAGTGTCAAGGGTTTGGTCAAGTGATTAATTGCTAAACACTTCAAATATGAGTATCAGATATGAGTGGAAAATGCCTCTTATTAAAGCAGCTAAAATGATTATGTTCTGAGAGTTTAGACATTGCTGATTTGAGGAGTTTACCTGCAAGATTGTGACTCTCTGGCACAGCGGCTTAAGTTGCCAACATAATGTTTTAAGCCAATTTCTTACATACAAAAGACAAGCAGCAAAACCTTAAGAAAAAAAAAGAAAAAAGAAAAAAAATCTGTGGACAATCTTGTTAGCCTCTCCACACATGATCACACAGTATTTATTTTGTGTTCCAGAAGGTTGATGAGAATGCCTGAAACATTTATAAGAAATATAATTGAATTCTATAGTATATATTCATATGTCTCATATTAAATAAAATGCTTCAAAAATATTATGAACTCATTTTGATTGATTATTTGGGGAATTTGATTTTTGGATGAGAATGTATTGCAAGCTATGTTCTAAAACATTAACGGCAAACATAGTTCTTGTATAAATCGTAAGCCAGCAAGTATGTAGTCATGTAATCCATAACATTTCCTACAGGACCTATAGAATATTTATGCCTTCAAATTCAAAAACTTAGGTTACTACAAATAAATAACCTATGTCATGCTTTCTTTTATAATTGGCCATGCAAATTTACAATAATTTCTTTACAGACTGTTCATTAATCTTGTGTTACTACTTTTGTTTAACTTTTCTTTGCTCCCACTGTCTATCTACAGTAGATACAGCAGGACAGTTCGGAGCTAAGGAATCATCTAGAAATCTGTAAAACACCTACAGTACCTACTATAGTTAAACTGCTTTCAGTTTGTGATGGTGACAATCGTGGCTCAAAGGATTGTAAATTTAAAGCCAGACAAAATGGTTCTACTTTCTTTTCCGGAGTTAGAGAATTACCTTTCATATCCTTTCTGATATAATTAAAATAAAAAGATTGTACTTGAGAACTCAACTTCAACAATGTGTCCCCTTTTTTAGGACATGCCACAATTTCATCTTTAGCGGTCTCAGTTCCTCTTCCTTTTGGATCAGTGTGACATATTAAATTACAACAGAGGCGTGTAACAGAATGATGAGGAGCTTCTTTGCCAACACACTATCTTGACCAGGCCCATGGATTACTGTAGAGGCAAGATGGCCACTGGGACTAACTAATACAGCTTGTTCAAGTCAGAAAAAGAAAGGCATACTGTACATTTCTAAACTCACAAAGGACTACAGTTGTCTCTGTGGCTAAGGATCTGCGCCTGTGGCTGGAAGGCTGCTAGTTCGTATCCCGCGGCCGGCAGAGGAATCCTACTCCGCTGGGCTCCTGAGCAAGACCCTGAACCCCAATGGCTGACCATTGGTGATTGGTGCAGCTATCGGGGCAGGGAGTTTTGGTTCTGTCCCACCGGTTTGATGCTTGGCTGAGCAGATGGGGGACTGGCAGTAGAGCAGGTTTGACACAGACAGAGACATTCCCATGCAGGATTCAGGCTGAGTGTCCTTCTGAAATGCAGCACTGAGGTTTTTCTGCTGCAGGAGGTTAGTTTTGAAGCCAGTGTCACTATTTTTTTCTTCTTCTCTCTAATCTATTATTGCAACCATACCACCCATGTGGTTAACCTCTCACCAAATGTCTGAGTTTCAGGCCTATTTTTGCACATCCTGACTTGTATCACGTGCTGCTTAGGTAGTCCTTTGTGTTGAAAGCTGTGTGAAGATAAGGCACAATATCTGACCACATTTGAACGTGAAGAAACAAGAAAAGTGTGCAAAGCAGGAAATTGCACTAAATCAAGCTTTTCAACAAAAATCAGAGTAATTGGACATACTCAAAAGGAAAAACACTCCCTTCGTGGCTGATGCATTATTATTCCAATGGTTGTCTTTTCATTAACTGGCCATCACTCGAAAGGCTGAAGGTTTATACAGACTGAATAAAAGGAAGAGCGAATTAGGCAACTGAGCAGATAACATTCTTTTTAAAGATACAACAGTTAACTTAGAAATTGACTGTCACCCATTGGAGAGCACAGAAGGCAGAGTAAAACTTTTCTCCCACAGTCAGACATACTGTACATGCCAGCATGCAACAGGTGCAGATGTAGGATGCTAAACAGAAGTGCCACTTCTAATTAGTGACTTACAGTGGGATTACAGGATTAGATTTAGCGAAGAGAGTCATGCACTATTATCACAGCTAAAGGCCATTATTTATAGTGTGCAAAAGACAAGCCTGCATATCCAGAATCTTTCTCTCAACAACCATTATACCTCCTATATGTATTCTGTTTAATTCAGAATCATATATTATAATGCATGTCTTTTAAAGCTGTCAGCCTCTGTGGATAAGGCGTCACAACGGCTGTGTTTCCAGATACTTTAAACTTAAGGTAAGTGTGTTGACAAATAAATGAATATGAGCTTTTAAAGAATCAGCATCCTTATTTTTAAAATGTTTTTAAAAGGATGGTGAAGTGTAAAAATGATTGCATTTGCAATTAATATTGCCTGATGGAATGAGGGATATTTTATTAAAAGCACTTCCAGAAGTGTTTTTGGCAAGGCCTGAAATTTATTTGAAGACGTCATATGCATACAACACAGAAGACAAGCTTTTCTTAAAATCATAAGTGGTAGGGTGTCAGGTCCTGCAGTTCTACAGCTGACAAACAGTGCATGATTTAATTGTTGCCCCAGATGGACAATTGTTCAAGGTCTTTTAACATTGATGAGATAAAACAGTGGCTCCCAACTCTGTAGGACTTTTATGTCTTCCAACTTTTAACCCAGCTCAAATTGTTAATCACAGGCTGATTGATTTCAAGTTTGTATTTCAGGCCCTTCAAATTTGCTAAATCAGCTTTTTAAAAGCTTCATGGGATTCATAATTGTTAGCAACTTTGTACTAATTAGTGGCTTTCAGAGCTACCCTTAACCAAGCTTCTCAACAAAAATCAGAGCAATTGGACCTAATCCAAAGGAAAAAGTCTCCGTTGGTGCTAGCTGCATTATTATTCCAACAGCTGTCTTTTCATAAAATGGTCACCACTCAGAGCTTTTTAGTCAGAAAGGGAGCCAATTCGCTGTTAGCAAGCTGAGCAAGACTACACCAAGTTCTACGTGCAGATGAAATTGGAAGCAATGTGCTTGGAAGCATTTTTGAAACAAGGGACTGAGTGTACAAAGAAATACTAAACAGGGAAGCAAGACAGCTACAGGAAGGAATTTTTTGTCACTTTGTCAACGGTGACAGAGGGCCTGTCCGGAATGAAAACCAACAGAGACGGGGCAAGACAAATGTCTCTCAAAGATGAACTGGCAAAGCGTTTTGTGAATTTGGACTGAAGTGATCAATATGAAAGTTATTCATATGCATATTCATATTCATATTCATATTCATATTCATATTCATATTCATATTATTATTATCATATTATATTAGATTATTGCAGCACACAAATTGTTTGCCATAATACTCATTATGTGTTTAAAGAGAGTTGACACTGTACTTACAGTACATGTTTTAGCACAGAGGTGCAGAACATGATTCAATTAGTGTGTAGACAGCACTACACTCGTTGAAATTCATTGCCAAATCAAAGAGATATATGAAGTGATATATGTCACGTCGCAGAAACAGGTGTGGCTGTGGTGTAATTGCAGTGTCTTTGTCAGAACGAATGTTCCCGATAATCAATGCTCAGTGCACATCAGTACCTTCTTGACAGATGACAAGATTTCCCTCAGATATGATTGGAATTAGGAATCAGATGCACAAACAGTAACATAAAACATTATGAGGAATCTGAGCAACCGTATTTAACACTCTTTTTTCCTAGCTGTATAAAATGTACATCACAGAGGATGTGCTCATGTTTGTGTACAGTGTATGCGTGTGTGGGTCTGTGTGTAGGTGTATGTTTGTGTACATAAATGATGAACTGCAGCTGGATGTCTGCTTAATGTCTGAACCTTGCAGATGCACAAACAGTAAAATGAGTTAGATGCTTTATGCTTTTAACCTTAAAATAGATATATGGAAAATGTAACACATTGTTCTCTTTTTTTTATATGTGATATAATGTCAGTTAATTAAGGAAGTCTTTTTGGCGTGACACTGAATTTATAGCACTGTAATTAATCCTAAAATATGTGACTAGAGACATATATTTATAAATGTGTTCTGGAAGACATAAGGAAGAGTTGCTCATATGCAATGGTGCATAAGATCACGTCATACTGGAGCACTGTGTCAGTTCAGCGTTGCATGATTCCTTCCATCTGTTTTTTAAATTCAGTTTCTAAATGAATAGGCAGTTGAATGTTCAATCTAGACCATAAAATGGAACACAATGTAGAATTAAAATAGTACTCCTCAACGAAAGAAAAAAAACACTATCCCACCAAACACCAAAAAACACAAAATTAAAAATGAAAAAAAAAATGGTTAGCATTCCTGATTCGCAACCATAACAGCTTAAAATAAACATTAAAAGCAAAGAAAAAATGCAGTGGGATCTAATAAATTCTGCTGATATTTCTTTAGGTTGACCACTATATATTTTCATTTTCTTTTTACAGTTCCTTATTAGTTTCATTTAATGAAAATGATAGAGAAGCTAACAGCTCACTCATACCAGACATATGCTGTCCACTAGAATTCTTTAATTATTTGATAACTAATGAGAGATTGCATGGGACAATTGTTAAATGTGCTCATCACAGAATGGCAAACATTGACCTTTGATATTAGTGGTTAATCAGGATTAAATAACAGTTGCTTTTGTTTATTAATTATTCTTTAAAACCCTTACAGAAGTGACTTGATTGACAGCTTGTAGACTGAAATATCCATGCAATCAATTTGTTCACATTTGTCTATGACATACAATACGTGAGAATCAGAAGGACTAAGAATTTGCTCTTTCTGAAATGTTTATTTTTAGGTTCATGATGGCTGAAGTGTTGAAGAACAGCAAAGTTCTCCAGACTATTAAGGACTCCCTGGATAAGAATACCATGTCTGACATCAAAGCCACTCTGGAGGACTTGCTGAGCAATTGTCTTAACATTGCAGTGATTGGTAAGAGAGTGCCAGAGAAGATGACTTTCATTAACTCGCTCAGAGGCTTGGGGGATGATGATGTAGGGGCAGCCCATGCTGGTCCTGCCGATACCAACAAAGAACCTATAATGTATCCTCACCCCCAACACTCAGATGTACGAATCTGGGATCTGTCCATGCCTGAGAGCAATGAATGTAATCCCAATGAATATCTGGAAACAGTGAAGGTCAATCACTATTGTTCCCTCATTTTCACCGTGTCTGAGCGTTTGGCAGTGGCCTATGCTGCCTTATGGAAGGAGCTTCACAAAGGCGAGAAGGAGCTTTACTTCATCCTGCTTACATCTGTGACGGATTCGTCTGATTCATTACTGGAGAAGAAGAGGTCCATCATGGAGAGTTTTAAGAATCAGGGGGTGAAAAGTCCTCAGGTGTTCCTAGTTTCAAGCTCAGCCCTGCACCAGCTGGAGTTCATGGACCTCCTGGAAGCCATGGAAAAGAATATTCCGGAGCTAAGGATGAATGCCCTGCTTTTCTCTCTCCCAACCTTTTCTGTGCCGATCCTTAAGAAGAAGAGAGCTGCTTTCAAAGCTGTGGTGTGGACAGCGGCGTCTCTGTCAGGAGGAGCATCCACCATTCCCCTCCCAACAGTGTCTTCTGTTCTTGACGTCAACATGTTGATGAAGATCTTGAACAAGGCCCGCGACTCCTTCGGCCTGGACAATAAGTCCCTGGAGAGGCTTGCCAAGCAGGCGCGCCTGCCTGTGGCAGAACTCGAGTCAGCCCGGACCTCGGAGCTGTCGATTGAGATCAGCAAACTTGTGATCCAGAGGAAGCTGGCCCTGGCGGAGAAGGAGAGGAGCCTGGGTGCCAAACTTGTAGATACTGCTCTCACCGGTTCGGTGAAATCCATGACAAAGTCATTCACGACCATGTACTTCATGCTGACAGCTTCGTTGGACGAGCTGGAGGAGGATGCAGTGAGAGTGTTGCGGAAAGCCTATGGGGATAATTATTAGGAGCTTTGCATTAATTGGCCATTGATCCATTGGCCAATGGTATCTTTCCTATTATTCAGTGCTCAGTGCACGCTGGTGCAACATCCTTTGTGTGTGTGCATTTTTCTTAAATACTCCAATTTTCTCCCCCTTTCTCAGGACATGCTAGGTTGATTAATCGGTGTTTCTCATTGTGTATGCTTACCATGCGCTTGCATCTGCATTCCACAAATTGATGTCCCACCCAGAATATGGTCCTCTTATGTACCCTGTGATTGCAGGATGGGCTTCTGGTTGTTTGCCGTGACCCTTATCAGGAATACGTTTCTTGTATAATGGATGGTTGGATACTAAATCTCATTTGATCTTATCCTGTTTTCCATCCATGCACTATGTGTAAAATTGCACTAGTTCCTGCATTGTCCTTCCAATTGTTCTTCCTGGATTGGAGGGAACATTGTATTCTAATTGTTAAAGGAAGTTAAGTTTTTTTTTTTGGCCCAGAAAAGAAAAGATGTAAAGATGTCCAGCAATAACAGTATTCATAGGTATTGGGGTATTCAAAATGCACTGTGAATAACCACTGAAGTAACAGGTCGGAAAAATATTCACAACTCTTTACTGTCTTCTTCAAACTGCAAACCACAAACACTGTTAAAGGTATTTTATGGTGGCAGTAATGGAGACTCAGTTTCATTAAACATCCCTTTGAGTATTATGCTAACCTTGTGATCCAGCTAGACTCCTCTAAACAGGAAGATTTTAGCTAACTGTGGCTTACATTGTACTATAAAACTATAAAACCTGAACTATAAAACTGTGCATTATCATATGTGTAATAAAAAGAATTACTGTATATCGGCTGAGAGACATTTTGAACATTTCGCTTGTTCAAGTTTTTAAAAAGGGAATCATATTATCAGTAATAAAACATTGCTTACTGAACGTGAATGAAGTATATTTCAAAAGCAGTGGAGCATGATTCCTCCCACTCTTAGTTTGCTGTGCAGAATAATGTCAGGGCAGACAGCAGAAACTGATAAGGACAAAGTATATTCATGTTACTGATGGAGACTGAATTATTGCCACCTATTGCCATTAACTGACAGTTGCTAAAATTAATGAGTTTTCTGTATCAATTTCATCACTGGGATTAATCTCCAGCAATGCTCTTGTAGAGCTGGACTGCAACAGCTGGGGAAAAGTATTTCACTAAAACTACAATAGGAGTGTCTGCAACAGTGATTTGAACTCACAACCCACCAATTAAAAGACCAGAGATTACACACTAAACTATACTGCCAGCACTAATACAAGCAGGACACATACGTTCAGTAACAATACAATTTCAAAAATGACTGTATGTTTTGGTTCCTGACTAAACCACATTGATACAGTCCAAACAGTAAGTTAAAAGTACTGACAATTTAAAATTATAGAGAGACATAGAGAGACAGCCAAGAACTACAAATTGTATGACACCCTCATTTCTTGTATTACTGTACAGAGGCCTAGTTGATGAAGTTTTGTCTTTTGGAAATCAAATATCTACTGTATGTGAGAGGACATCCAAAATCCATGACTGGCACTGGACATTATTTTCCAACACTTCATATTGGTTTATGAGCTGGTTGTAGAAGTTTAAATAGAGACTCAACTAGGAATAGTTGTATTTTATGGACATATTGGCCTATTGAATAAAAAGCCTGTGAGAAAGAGAAACTGAAAGAATCCTTGTCAGAATTAGAAATGACAGGTCAGTATGAAACAAGAGGTCTGATTAACTCATGTTAGATGATGAGGTGCTGCAGGCTTTAGAGTGACACTCATCTCTAAAGACTACCAACTGTGTGCTTAGCCTTCCTGTGAGTATAGCTGCCTATCAGCTGTGATTGAAGCCACTGTTGATAATTAAGTGTGAGATGGGGAAGCAAAAGTCTTAGCCAGTCACTTGTGAACTATACCAGGAAGCCAAAGTTTCAGCCTGAAAAGCTTTTTCTTTGCGCCATTAAACATGCAAAGCTAAACAGAAAAAGGGTTCCTCCTTTTGTTGAGCAAGACGCAGTATTGTTGGTCCAAACATTTTCACCCAGCATCACCAGTGATAAAATAAGATTTGCGAGCTGTACCAGACAAGTTAGAGGTAAGTTAAAGTTCATGGTTCTTCTTATTCTCGTTGATGTCACTGTAGCTAACTGTAGTACATTTTCCAAGTCTCACATTTTCTTTATAAATCCTCTATCAGAACCAATGAAAGGCGTATTAGATAGAAACAGTCTATGCTTCATGATAATAAGATAAACATGCTTGCTGTACCGTAGGTCAGGGCAGTGATATGGTTGTTAGTGCTGCAGCTTCATGACTCTTGGATCCAGAATTTGACTAAACAAATTGTTGTTTTTTTGCAAAAGTCTTCGACATTCATGGTTACAATACATTATATGTATGTTATGAAAATCAAGAATTTACTCCAGTTATGTTTTGTACTATCATAAACAACATTGACTAATACAGAGTTTTTACAGTTTAAGGAGCAAATGTTCATTAATGTGATCACAGCAACTCCAGCTTAAACTGTAAATATGGAGTACTGTGGCTAATACATCACTTTTACCAATCAAATCTAATTGATTTATTGACTTATTGACTAATTCTAATGATAAATAAATGTATTTATCTAATTTTATTAGAAGTGTAAATTTGCACATTAGTGTGTCTCAGAAGAATTTGAAATAAACCAGAACTTGTGACAAAGGTCCCCTAAACTGTGAGAAACTGAAGACAAATTACAACCCAATATCCTCAAGACTGACACAAACAGAAAAATGCAGCTGGGCAGCAGTGATGCGGATCTACTGTGAAAACAGTGAAAAAGAGGTGTGTGTGTGTGTTATTCATCTTGGTTTTACTGCTGTGCATGCTGAAGGTGAGGAGCTCCAGGATGATGGCATAGAGTTTACAGTAGACCAAAAAGCTTATAGTGAAACTGCAACAAGAATACTTTGCACTTTTCAATTTAAGACATAACCCAGAGGGAGTGTTTTATTTTGGGATAAGATCCTGTCCTGTTTTTCATGCAGACACATGTTGAGCAATGCACCCATTCATGCACTAGAGCATCCATGCACTATTATACAGTGGCTTGTTTCTGTGTTTTAAAAATGATTTTAATGTAGAAAGTACTCTTCCAGCTTAAATTACTGTACCTCATGCTAGACTTGTCAACTCATCAAGAAGACCAACTGTCTTACTAAGTGTGTGGAGGATAAAGACCTCTGTAATTTCCAATATTTAGGACTAAAATTCATGCTAATTCACTTTTAGTCAAGGTGTAGCTCGAGTTATTTATTAAAATGTGTGAGTATGAATTTCACTGTAATATACAGCATTTGTTTGTCATTAAAATATTAATATTAATAATCGCAAATAAGTAAGATGCAAGGCAGGATAAAAACTATCTGGCAATATTATCTGTTCTCTGTTCATATTAAAAGTGACTTACTTTGGCTTTGCATTGATTTAATGATGAGTATTTCGCTAGAGCAATCTTAGTGAAATGCCTTTCTAAAAGGTACAGTTTAGATTTGAAACTGGAACCTACCCATATAACAGAACCCTAACTTCAGAGTGCTGCCCTGATGCAGAATGGATTGGGTTTGTTGAGGTTTTGTTATTCAATGCTTTTTAAATGGTCTTTTCTGTGATTTCCTATGGTTTTAATATGCTTTACCATATAAGATCACTTTATATACCATATACAATTTCTAGTATTAGGAATTTGTCTTTTTGCAGACCCCAGCTTGCTCTCCATTAGACACACAGGCACACAGACAGGGAGAGAATCTTGGGATCAGAGCGCAGGGTCAGCCATTTGTACGGTGCCCCTGGAGCAGCTGGGGATCAGGGCCTTGCTCCGGAGCCCAACGGAGTAGGATTCCTCTGCCAGCCTTGGGATTTGAACCAGCAACCTTCCAGCCACAGGCACAGATCCTTAGCCACAGTCCCACCGCTCCGCCCACAGTTTTTTTTTATTTTAATTTATTTTATCCGGTCCGCCAATAGATAGTATATTGGACCCTGCGTGAGGCTAGAATATAGGGTAGAAGGAGAAGGGAAAATCCAGTAATCAAAATCCCGATCGTTGAGCAAATCTGTAGTGGAAGTAGGGCTAAGATCCGTTCTCCAAAAGGTCAATAATCACTGGAGAGAACTAACAAAGGAAAGAGTAGGGTTTTGTGAGTGATTCCTCAATAGTGACCATGGAGTAGTGCGGTTGATGGGCTTGAGTAGGGAGGAAAGTGGAAAGTGGTTGGATAATAGATTAATTGTGGTGAACAGTGCACGTTGGAATGTGGTAGTGAGTGCGTGGCTGCGTGGTGACTCTGACACAAGAGAGGTTTCTGATGAAAGTATATCAGGGCCAGAATTTCTAAACCAGTGATGCACTGAATGACAGGGGATGCCACATTGAGGAGATGTTGTTCTTAAGATTAGGAATGTCCAAAAGTTCAGTCCATGTTGAAAAGAAGACAAAAGAACATTTAGAATGCTAAGCCCTTTTCATTTATGAGCTAAAGGTATGACATCTATTCAGCTCACATGTGAAACAACCTACATTTTCTTTCTGACTACTTTTTTGGAATTAACTTTTGTACAGTATGTTTCTTTGCATCCAACCTGCAGAAACAGCAGAATGTTAAATTGAGTTCTTGAATGCATGTGGAAATTAAAGATCTCGTTACAATATTAGTGTAATCCTCACGCTCTAACTCCATTTCATTCCCGACATTGTATAATAATATTTACAAATACTGTACATTCACCTGCAATCTGCTTTGGACCTTACACATGTTCTAACAAAATGAAGAAATGAAACAGGAATTACCCTCTGGGTGGATTCCTCTCAAGTATGAACTGTGATATTGTTAGACCAGTTTAACTTTTAGGTCACAGCTGTAAGCAGAGCAAATCACAATTTGGGATTGTGTTTTTCAACAAGAGTAATAACAAATTTAATAAGGCAGTACCTCCATTTAAGACCTTCAAGAAGATCAAGGCTGGCAGACTAGTTCTTGAGTAAAATAAATGAACAATTCTGAAATATTTTATTTAAAACCTGTTTATTTTGTGATTGCAAAGAGTCAGGTTTTGTGCAAAGAGACAGGTTTTGATTTTCACCTACTTTATGTTCATATATTACGCAATTTAAATATGCAGTAGCTTTGGCTCAATACAAAATATAACTGTTTGAGTGCAATCTCAATTCTGTGAGCTGTAAGTGAACAGTCTAGTCAAATGAGTGGTTAGTTATTCTGAAAGAAGATTCCGTTGCAGTGTGTCTCCTTTTATCACTGTCTGTGACAGCTGTGCCCAGGCTGGTTAACCAAAATGATTCACACACATCTGTTCTTGCCCAAAGAAGCCACCATAAGTGAGAAGAAAGTAACATCTTCACTTTACAGTTAAAAGATCCAATGCAACTATATGGAAAGTATGTAAGGTTACAGATGAGAGGGGGCATTTCTGAGTCAAAGTCAAAGTAATTACCAGCAAAAGCATTTTTTCCTTCAACTGAAAAGAATTTATTCTTCTGAACTGAAACGACAACTCCAATATACATTAGATCCTCAAATGTCTGGCTTGTTGACTCAGATGCAGTTTTGTGATCACCGTTTTGTGAAAACCCTGGAAAAACAAAAGTACCGCTAATTGATAGCCAGAGTTGTTTAGCTGGTCAACACAGGCTTTGAGGGTATTCAGGATGTCATTAAACCTCCAAGAATATGTGGAATTTTTGCTGTTTACATTCTTCTCTTCATCTGTTGTATAACATTTCAAAAGATGTTGAAGCTAGGTGGCATGAAAATGACAATATTGGTCAGTTTTCAACCCAGTTGTTTTAGTAATTTAAGCATGCTTATGTATAGAGCATTATGAGATTTCTAACGGCATTAAGAGACTTTGAAAATTCTCAACATTTTGTAACTTGTCAAATGCTAGGAGTTCCAGCAAGGAGTTTAACCATTGTTAATTGAAGTACTGAATAACACTTAGAAATATTTAAAATGGTGTGGAGATGATCACACACCTTAGCTTTAGTTAATATCATTAACTTACACTTGGGAAAGCCCATCTCCTAATTTTGAGTTGTCCAGTGTGTTGGGATCAATCAATGAGTTAAACTAAGATTGACTATGAAACAAAAAAAGCACTTTTA